GAATATCTAATGGATTAGGTTTTGTTTTTGAGTACAAGAGCCTTCTCATACATATATATGTGCACAAAGTGTCTCAGAAGTGCTGTGCGTGGCTGGTTTGTTGGGTTTTCGTGTTACACTCAGTATCTCTTTCTGTCTCTTTTCTCTTCTCTTCTGTTTTCGTACCAACAGCTCAGCCATGTGGTTTCCGCTGCCTTCCACCAACAGTACAGAGGCCGCAAGACAGAGACAGCAGAAGAAAGACTGAGAGAGAGGAGGGCCTGGGCAGACAGTAACTGTTTGTGTTTGTTAGTGCCTGAATCAAAGTCTGAGGCCATGTCCTCTTGAAATACCACCAGATGACAGGTCAGCTAAGGAGAGGAGGAAAAATTAGGAGGGCACTGGGTAGGAAGATGTAAAGAGATGCCTCATCTTCATTTCTCTCTGAATTAGTGTCACAGTTTGTTGGTGCATGACAGACGGAGAGGAAGACAGAAGATTAAGAGAGCTGAAAGTTTCCGCCGTGGTTCTCCCCACAGAAAACACACTTCCTGTCTCTCCTGTTGATCACCTCTGCACATCTCGCCTCACTTCCTGTTGCCCTCCCACCCCACTGTTACCTAGCAACAGGAGGCAGCATGTTTGACTGGCTGACCCACGCTGCAAGGACAGTTTTACTCTTTTTGTCCAGGGTTCACTTTCTCTGCTTATCTGTTTGATTGACTGTGTTGTTTGTTTGTTTGTGTGTGTGTGTGTGTGTGTGTGTGTGATAACCTCCTTCCCTTCCTTGTTCCTTCCCCCTGCTTCTCGGCCTGAGTCAAGACTTTGCCACTGCAGCTACCACAGCTCAAACTTTCCACCGCTGTGCACGCCTCATAAACTCAATGCAGGCAACAGAGAGAAGGAGGGCAGAGACTCAGGACTGAAATATGCCAAATCAGCTGGAAGAGACGACACCAGCCACTGTGACTGCGGCGGGGTGCCAAAAGCTATCAGGGCACACCCAAGCTCTTCCAAACTCTCTCTCATGAGCTGCTTGCAAAATCAACATAGCGACACTTCCCTTTTGTTTACACCACATGCTGATTGTGTGTTGAAAGAGGAGTGACTGTATATCATGGATGATATACAGCAGAGCAGAGCTTGTTTAGGGATATTTAATGAGGTTTAAATTGGCTAGGAAATAGCTCTTTGCATGGTAAATATCAAGGAAGTTGTGATTTTGACAAGGGGCAGAAACACAGTCAACATCTCCTGCACCCGTGGATCACTAAAACTTGGCACTATTATTTAAAAAACAAGAGATGCTGAATTATGATGCTGAGTTTCCAGGGCTAATAAGAGCCTTCTGTGGTTCAATGACACATCAAAATATGAGTATCAGACCTCAGACCAGTGTTTTTAGCCCTGCAGGCCTGCTTGTAGTGTCTCATTCCTTCCCTTGACCCCATTGACATGACGTGACCTCAGATTGAATACTTTTGAGCAGCTCAAACTGGCTGAAAATAATGTTTTTGGAGTCTGAAAAGCCACAGAACTCACCATATGTCTACAAATAGGAATCAAATAAAAGGTAAACCTAAGTAAATATAGCTTTTTACTGGAAGAACAGAGCTCATCCAGCTTTATAGCCAGATTTTAGGCGAGAGAAACTAAATCAATTTGTTGAAGTTAAGGTCCAGTCCCTTCTACATCAGTGTGAGCACAGGTGAAACTTACCTGAAGCGTGGAGAGTCTTTTAGACACTCCTCAAAGTCCAGCTTGACTGTCATCCCTCCACTTGGCTAAACAACTATGTCTGTAATTCAGTGAATCCTCACTTGAGGTGGAGAAGGTCAAGAAAATCTAAATCTCGTTGCTTTTAACGCTCCACATCGACAGCCTGGCGCATTGCTCTGCCTGGGCTTTTTTCTTTATTCTTTCACAAATCGTAATCCTCCGGCGGCAAGTCCTGTTCGGGTTTCTTTCTTGAAAGGACAGTGTGTGCCCGATCTGTCGCACATCCGAGCCACAGGAGGCTTGTCACCACTTATGAATGAACGCAGGAGATGTTAGGTGCGTTATTACCATCTTATCCGGCAAATAAAAGGCGAGATAGTCAGTGTTCCGGTGGAGCTGATGTGTAGAGAGGTTTCCTCGGGAGTAAGATATCCTTGTTGATCAGTGCGGGTCGATGAGTAAGCTTAAATCAGATGGCAGCCTGTGGACTGGATGCGCACTTGTTCCCAGGGGTGCCGACTGGAGCACTACTCTCTCTCTCTCTCCCCCACACAGATGAAGTCCAACCCCCATCTGACTATTTCCGGGTTTCTGTCTCATGTCATGTGTGTGAAGTATGAAGCTGCATAAAACAATAGGTTACAAAAAAAAAAATCAACTCAATCTGTTAGGTATCATGTGAAAATGTGGCGCGTAATCTTTCTCAGATATTTGATTTCTTCAGTCAGTATATTTCCTGCTCACTGGGTTTCTCCAGTTGCTGTTATTCAACTTTTCTCGGCTCCAGTGATCCGGGCTTCACATGCATAAACCCTGGGTGTGTATTCTTGTCTGGCTTGTTTTTGTGGAGGTGTAAAAGGAGATCTAAGACTTGCTAAGTCAGAAAATAAGGCCCAGCCTGCTATATTCAAACAGTGAGGTTCTAAGACAAAGGATATTAAGTCAAAACTAGATTATAAAGTGAAAGTTTATAAGATAATGAGTCAAAACATGATATAGTAAGTAAAAAAAATAAGACGTCAAAATTACAGTACGTTAAAAATAAGAGAAAGTAAGAACATACTTTGAAACTACATCCAAACTTATGGTATGAAATTATCAGATTAAGACTAAGTTAATAAAAAGAGATAATAAATCATATGACTTACTGTGACTATTAATTTTTATTGACTCATTCTCAAAAAAGGGGGGCTTTGATAATTCAGGCGTCACAAAAGACAAAACAACCCATTATCTCTTGTTGAGCAACATAAAGTAAACATCAGTATCACCACAAATTGCAGTAATCAGACACACTGAAACCTGTTGTGGTTGGTTGAAGAGAAGTAAAATTACAGTGGCTCAACAGACTTGTCTGTCTGTGCTGCTTTGTGTTGAAATAACGCATTTCAAATGTATTTATGTATGTATTTATGTATCTATCTATCTGGTGGTGGTGGTAGTGGTGTGTCTGTCTCCCCCTGCCCATCACAAACAGTCACCGCAGGCTCACAGGGCCTCACTAGTCCATATGAAAACAATGTGACTGGATGCTTATATTGCTTCTCTTTGTTGCAGATTGTCTCTGCTGCCTGTGGTGTCTTCATGTTCCCAGACCTGATTAGACATTTTCTATCCATATGAGTAAAACTCTCGGATATCTCTCCACAGACGTCATAGAAGGGGGCGTATGCTGTTGCTAAGTTGCTTCATCACAATAAATATCAGGTCTGTTCTCTGAAGAGGTTTGTAATAACGTATTTAGAACGATACTATTCACCAAAGACCCGTGGGAATTTGGTGGTCAAGAAAAACAGGTTTTAAATAGAGAGAGAAACTAACCATGAGCTAGACTACATGTCTCTTTGTGTAATACACAATAAACAATGACAATTTACTTTTAATGAACTTTAAATCTGCCGATATGTTGATCAGATATGCTTTTCAGTGTTTTCTTTTTCCTAAGCTGTCTTTAGCTGTGTTCCTCAAAATAATCTACCAGAGCGCGCTGGAGCGCAGCGCTGCGCCAAAAAAACGGGGGCGTGAGCGTAAATGGTGCACACACAAAGCGCAGCACATGCAGACAAACACGACAGATTGTGGGTTTTGAGAGAGTAATAAAACAGTCGTCGTGTGGTGTAAAACTTGACTACTCGACAGGTTTTTATGTCATTGACAGGAGATCCCCTACGCTTCTGTCCCATCTTCAATGCAGACACATTTTAAGGTACGGCTTCCGGTAGGTTTTTAAAATAATGGCACGAGTTGCACAGTAGGTTGTGTGGAAACTGCTTATGGCATTTGGAAATATATAACCAATAGCACCTTCCCTCCAAAGTGACCTTTGACACACTTGGTTTAATGTGCATCGCTGGGATGTTAAGGTCCACCATACCTTCTTCCCAGGGTCATGTCCAATCAGTCGTTCTCCATCTCACTCCACTTATTTCCTGTCAGCTCCCCAGTAAAAATTATAACCCCTCAAAATAAGAAACAAACTATCACAGATGTTTTCAGAACTGGGCCAAAAAGATTAGTAAAAACTGCTGAGACCACATTTTACAGGAAGTGGTACATATTACCAAATACATGTCTTGCATAGGTAACCTGGGGTTCATTATGAGAGGGCAGCTTTATCAAGGCTGTTTTTAGCTTGGTACAACAAGACATGGACCTAAACATTCTTAAGGCACACTTTACAACTATCAAAAGAACAAGAGTTAAAGCATGTTTTAACAAGCAGTGTAACTGTAACAAGCTTTCATGCCTCTCAGGTCCTTTTTTACAGAGTTTTATGTGGGGGTGTCTCTCAAATCTAAAGTAAACTAACTCCTTTTTTTTTGGGGTCTGGAGCTCCAGGACAATTGGATCAGTGGAAGCCTATTAGTATAAGTAAACCACAAACAAAATGAAGGTTTTCACCAAGTCACATCAGAAGGTCCGGTTAGTAGCTGCATAACTCAACTTTGAAGCCAACAAAATGCTCATAAATATGAATACCTTCAACATATGGTAACAGAGCAAACTCCATCTGCAGGAGAAGCTCATGTCATATGATCAAAAGCTCCAGATCAGCCTGGGCTTGAAAACAAACTTGTGAACGTTTCTATTTTTCATTTGCTCTCTTGTTTGTAAGCATTACCTGGAAATAGCTGATTCACACAGTACACACAGGAAGGTACCTTGACCTACAAACAGTTTGGATGAAATAACCAGTGGTTAAATTGGAACAAATTTTTAAAGAAACAGGCAACCTAAAAGTAAAAATGTCACCGTTATTTAAAGCGCCACCAGTTATTTGCTTTTATTTTGAAGGAAATCTAGGTTTCCCGGTGCGTCTGTGCGTCTTGACGCACCTCTCCGCTGTGTAGCCATGCACTGTGAAGTCGCATGAAAAGCGTTTCCATAATGCGGGCGTGAAGTACCCGCGTGGTAAACGGAGGGATCCAGGAGGAGGACAGCGGAGGGTTACCAGCCTCGCACCGCGCCTGCTCGTCAGGCACCGGAAAGATTAAAATGTCGAACCGAAAGCACCGGGACAACCAGGAGATCTGCTCCCGCAAGGTTCGGGAGCTGGCCCAGTCTGGAGTAAACAAACACTGCTTCGAGTGCAGCCAGCCCGGGGTGACTTACACCGACATCACGGTGGGCAGCTTCGTGTGCACGTCGTGCTCCGGAATGCTGTGAGTACCGAGGTTTGTTTACCGCACGTTTGGCATCAGTGTGGAGACCAAGATACTGATAGAGCACAGGCGTAAAAGTACCAGGCCAGAGACTGCACCATGCACCGCCCAGAGACAGATTTACAGTGTATGATTTTATTTTCCAGCGTTAAGGGGGAGTGTCGGTGGGCCGAGTCTGTGCGCATACATTAATTTACGCATTCTCTCCCTGTCTTTCTCTCGTGCGTGTCTTCTACAGCTTCATAAACGACAGACCGCTAGTTGGTCATTTTCCAGGTCTGAGTTTCGTTTCATTTCGTCATGGTGCAGGTTTGACACTACCCCCCTCCTCTCTCTCTCCAGGCCCCTCTTCAGTGTGGGCGTGTATGAGTGTTTGTGCTGTCACATTTTGTTCTGCATGTTCAGCCTGGTCCCAGCACTCAACGGGAAGACGGTTTCAGCACGTTAGGGAGCATTATTGCGCAATCTTGCACATGTACAGCAGTGTCCCACTTTGTGTCACAGCATGGAGGAAAAAAAAACTGGTTCTGTTTACTGAAAACATCTGTTTCTCAGTCACAAGAATGTGTGGCACCTTTTTCACAACAAATCTGTCCTAAAATGTAGTCACATGTTAAATATTTCCTCTCCCACCTGCTCTGTCCTGATGTCTTGTCTCAGGAATGACTGCAAGTCTTCATTCTGTTTTATTTTAGTCCAAATTCCTCTCTCCATCTCTCCTCTGTGTCCCAGGAGAGGCCTCAACCCTCCCCATAGAGTCAAGTCCATCTCCATGACAACCTTCTCCCAGCAGGAAGTGGAATTTCTCCAAAACCATGGCAACGAGGTGAGTGAAGTCTCATCTGGGACTTCAGGTGGAGGCAGGACGTGATGCACCTGTAGTTCACTTTACAAAGACACAATGCAAGTCACTGTGTTTTTCTTGTGGGGTCATTCAGCAGGTAAAGGAGATGGTTAGTTTAGTGGGCTTTTTTTGGTCCAAAGTTTAAGTTTAAAACTTACTTTCTGGTTCTGATATGGAGTATGAAAGGTCTCATGTGACTACCAGTTGGCACTAGACTTTGTGGTCAAGCTTTTTTGGGGAAGAAACCCATGTCCCTGCTCACACAGGAAAAGAAACAAAAGTGCCAGCACTGACTGTCCCACCCAAACCACAGCCTGTTTCCTTTCTGTGTAAGTATCTGTGTGTGTCTAACCACTGGTTTCCAAACCTTTTTAAACCAGGTCACAGCTTCCTAGAGTTTTCTCAGCTGTGAAATGTCCAAATCAGAGCAAATTGTGGTAGAAAAGATGAACAATTTAGGGGATTCTTATCAAATACCCCACTGCAGCCATAAACCTGACTATCAGCCCAGTTTTGCTGAGTCATTTTAACTGTCGAATGATCAGTCAGTGCTGTGACTTTCTATTAATTATTTTAGTAGAAAATCCACCGATTTATTTTCTCAATTCATTGTTTGGCCCATTAAAATATCAGAAAATGGTGAAACTTGCCCATCACAGTTTCCTGAAGTCACAGGTGACATCTCCACATTAAATCATACTGAACTGTATGATTGAAAAATGAAAATGAGGTACAACATACTGTAGCTCTCACTGGTATCACATAGATACAGGCTGTGGAGGTGAGTGTAGACTGTGTTTATCAGCTTGCTGTCAGCCAGGTCGTGTGTGTGTGTGTGAGAGTCAGGCATTAATGTGAGCAGAGGCAGAGGTGTGCATCGTCCAGGTTTTCTGAAGAGTGATCTGACTGGTCATGACTCACAGGCAGTAATAGCTGCCTCGCTCTGACTCTTGCAGTGGAGATGAATCACTGATGAGAAAATTTTTACTTGCGAGTGACACTCTGACACTGTCAAACAAAAGCAGCGATTGTGGTTTGATGTTACGCTTCTGCATGTAGACACAGATCCCTTCTCGTGCTGCGTGATATTCACGCTTGTTCCTACAATAATGTGTGTGTGTGTGTGTGTGTGTGTGTGTTTAGGTCGGGAGGAGGACTTGGCTGTGTGTGTTTGACCCAAAGACAGACGGCTGCTCTGATATGAAGGACTCTCAGAAGTTCAAAGAGTTCCTCCAGGACAAATATGAGAAGAAGAAATGGTGAGGATTTTGGTTTCATCTGCAGAGTAAGTTGCTGATGAAGCCAGACAAGAGCACAGTTATTGATGTACCTGCTGATTATTTAGTGAAATGTGCCCCGAGTGTATAAAAATGACAATACAAATGCATTGTTTTTCTTATCATCGTGACCATTTTAGCATGCTGTCATTAACATCTAGTTGGAAGCCTCAGAAAACCCTTAAAACCTTTCATAAAAATGAGTTTCTCAAGGACTAATTGACAAATTGTTTCAGCTCTAGAAATGAAAGGGTGTAACAGATACATACAGCTACTGATGTTTGTTCCAAAATTAGACATCCGCAGTTTAAAATGCAGACGCCCACTCAGAAAACCTTGCTCAAAGATAAGTCCCTTCATTGTGTGGATAGAGAAGTAGTTAGTTATTATACTTTTTTATGAGGCCAGTTAGTGACATGGACTTTAATTCCCCTTTTTCACAGGCATTTTTCCAAAAGTAAGAACCGTAGGGATGTGGAGGGTCCTTGGAGCCCAGGCGTCCAGGCTGTGCCCCCTTCCCATGGTCCCCTAACAAGCCAGGCCCCCTCCCATAACCTGCCCCCCAACAGCAGATCCTCAAGGCCGCTGGTAAGAGACCATAATGGATGGAGAGAGTGACTGAGATCAAGTGAGATAATGAGGATTCAAGGGTTAAAGTGGGTAGGTGCCAAAACAGAGCAGCAGAGAGACGGAGACCGATGGTCTGGACAGTGGTGGGGGCCAGGTAGCCTGGGCATCAAAACCACTCCTTATGAATTATTGAGAAAGCATGAAAGAGCCTTGTTCTTCAGCCTCTGTGTCTCTCCTAACACCCATCTGCTCCTTTCTCTTCCATGTTGTCTCTCGTCCTCTAGTCTCAGTCCCAGCTGCCATCGTGGGATCGAGCTCCTGCGATCTCGCCCGCTGACATGCGGACGGATGTGTTCACCGCTCGGCCATCACGCTCCCAAAGCTTCAGAGACCCCCCTCTGAAAGGTGAGAGGTTCATCCTAATCAGAGGTGATATTTTTGGATTAAATCCGACTGATCCCTTCACTTGTGTGTCCTTTTCTTCTGTCTGTTGTCTCTCTGTGATACAGATACCACCCTGTGTGGCATAGAAAGACGGCGGCCAGGCTCTCTGTCGTCAGTGTTAGGAGCTCAGAGCTACGCTCCCTCTTTCCCCGCCCTCCCACGGCCTTCAGGTGTGATCTTGTGACTTGTAACATCTTCAGATATATTAGGTGCTCGTGGGAAATATAAGAAATCAGTTAACAGGACTGTTTGATGGTAACATTGGATTTTCTTTTTGCGTCAGTGAAATCAAGCTCCTTAGTATTTTTTCAGGTATTTAATTTGCTGGATTTGCCAAAAAAAGACATTTCATTTGTTGTTGTAACCTTAAAGGAACAGTTCAACAAAGGTTGACATCCCTTTCATGTAGCTAGCAGCTGTTAGCATATTAATGGTGAACATTACAAAACTAATTACAAAAGTGTGTGCTGTATTTGTAAACCCAGTTCCTCTTCCTGCTGCACGTTAATGCGGTCTAAGGATGGTATCTCTTGTAAAAATAGATAGAAAGCCCTTGTCTTCATTGGGCTTCTAGCTAAACAATTTGGCAGTGCAGTGTCAGTGTGTTGTGCAGAAGGGGCAGACTATCGGATATTCTCGCTGTTGATGCGCTAAGTGTCACACTGAGGAGGGTAAAGAGAAGTACAGTAACTGCAGCTATAGTTTCCAGTTTGTTATTGTGTCATGTGGGTTGGAAATGGGTCTGTGTCTTCCTTTTCGCAGCACTGAACACGCTGCTCAGCTGACCACAAGTGACAGCAGGGACGACAGTTTAATTTGACGTCAGTGACACTGTCTTCTCTCTCTTCTTCCTCTGTTTCTCCCCTTATCCTTTCTGTCTCATCCCACTCTCTTTTCTCCGCTGACCTTGTAGCCAGTAGCTCTTTCAAAAACCACTTCACTTTAGGTAAGACATGGCACCGACTGATGCATTTGGGTGTGTGCAGAGTGGCTGAGATCAATACGATCTTCTATGCTGTATCATTTATAATAGATGGTCAGTGGGCTGGCCTGGTGCTGATCGTTCCTCACATGCATGTGAACTTTTCTTTGGAGCAGAAAAGACACATCGCTCTATAGCATTCGTTTAGCCATCCCAGTCACGTCCGGCCGGTGTCACATGTTGCAGCAGGGGTCAATAATTTTCTTCATCGTTCAGGTTTCCCACTTCAAAGCCGAGATCTAAAGGCCGAGAGGGTCACACAGACACACACACACGCTGTTCCCTCAGAGAGAAGAACAAGTTTAAAGCAGTCCTATTTTTAACTGCTGCCCCATCAGCAGAGGGACGCTGATATTTCGCACCCTTTTGGCTTGAGGCACTAAAAACTATGTAGGGCACTGCTGTAATCTCAGAATACACATTAACATCCCAAATATGTTCAAGGAGGTTCAGGTATGTTCAAAAAAGATTGGTTGTACCTCTAAACTCCTGGAGAGAATTATCATAGCCCCAAAACATGCAGCTTCTTTAGCCTGCTTTAATCTTCAGACAATCTGTATCAGGTCAAGTCCAGTCTGGTCTGTGTCTCTGACTATTTGGCTCCTTTTCTTTTTTATTCCCCATGCTAACATTATACCAGCATGCTCTCTGGCTAATGTTTGTGTAAAGCTTGCTACCTGGAAGGATGTTAATTGCAGTTTCCTGCCTTTGCTATGTCTAACAATAGTTTGTTTGTTTTTTTCTTTTGGTGCTTGAAAACTAGCCAAGAACTCATTGGCTTGCTGTTCTGCCTTTTGGGTTTTCGCTGATGACTGTACATGCTACTTGTGTCAAACTAATCCTGGTTTTGACTTGCCTCATTCTGTAGCATGAGATGAAATCAGATTTGTGTGTATGATTCTTAAATAATATTCCTGAATTAGTTTTTATCTTCTTGCTAAATAAAACAAAAATCTTAGCTCAAGGTACATTTAGTAGCTTCCCTGGAGCTTTTGATGATTAATTCCTCATCAGTAGAGCTTCTAAGCTTTTATCACATCTTTGCACTCACTCTTGCTTTCTCTCCTTCAGGTCGTACAATATCGGCCTCGGGCGCCACGGGGCCCTTCAGGGCCTTCCCCAAATCTCTCAGCGTGGACTTTGGAGGCCTGAACCATCCACAGCCTCTGCACCATTCCCTGTCTCAGCAGCAGCAGCCGCCTGCCAGTATCGGCCAGACAACGCTGCCAGTCAGCGGTTCCAGCAGCCAGGACAGGTACGCAGCTGTGTCACAGCTGGACAACGTGTTCTTGGAAACCTCATCGGGTACAGGTAGGAAAATGTTTGCAAGTACATTTTGATGTGCGTCCATAATCTGAGCTACATTTTGTTTTTAGATTTTTCAGTCACTCTGTTTGAGGCGACTTCATAGGCCACTTACTCTCCATCCACAGTCATGTCATCACATCTGGTTAACCTCTGTTACATTAGCTTTAGTGATGCAGTGCAGTTTCTCTTTTAGCATTTTGTCATTGTAAGAAAACGATGCGTGTTCCTTTTTTATTCTAATCCAAGCCACCAGTCACTACAACACTTTGCTTTTACTAAACTGAAGGAACTGAGCAGTTATTCCACCACTGTGGAACAGACAGATGCAGGGGGAGAGGTCGAGTGTGATTGTCAGGGCCAGCTCAGCTAGGTTGCATAACATCTTGACTCCAAATGCCAAGGCTTTCAGCAGCTGAAATAAACTCGCTGTGTTTACTCCCTATCAGGCACAGTCGGACTCAGAGAACCTTGCCGCTGTATATTTAAATCGGCTGCATGTGTCTAATGAGAGCTTTCTACAAGACGCCTTATTGTTTTCCACCTTCGTCACTGCCTGTCAGAGGAAGGAGCATATTGATTTCCTGCCATAGCTCACTTTGATTCATAGCAAGCAGAGCACAGAGAGGATATTTTATTCGAGCTACTTGTAATGCTTTTATTCTCCAGTGACCTACATGCTTAACATCAACAGTTTGAACTCTGTGAGATTTTTACTAGTATTTCAACATAATAGTAACATTTGGTCTCTTAAATTAGCTCCAGTAAGCCTTCAGGTTATGTTGTGTGTGTGTGAAATGCTTGTGTGCAGCGCCGTCTGGTGGTCCTCCACAGTACAGCGCCATCTTCGGCAGCAGGCTCTCGTCCAGCTCCACTCCTGCCAGGTAGAAAAAGAAATGTAATCTTGTCAAAGCAGCTTTTGTTTAACATGACAGAGTTTTAAAGTTTCCTCTGCGCTGAGCCCTTTAAAGGTCGTTTCCTGATTGATTTTCTGTTTTGCTACGTTTCCCCAGCTCCCCCGGCGTCGATACAGTCTCCAGCTCACAAACCTTTGCGAGTAAGCACAGCCTGCTTCAGTTCTTCTCGCTAACGTGCGCTGTATTTACATTCAGCTCCTTCATCTTTTAAGGCGTCCCTAATTAGGATGCATGTGTGAGACTCAGAGCAGCGATGGTTTGAATAGGCAGGGATGCAC